GTGAGTACTTGTGATCCAGGATTTTATTAATAGTATATTTGGCTAATAATTGCTTTACAACTACAGAGGGCAACTATAAAGAGAGTGTACAACTAGCTACTCATACAACTTTAGTTATTGTCTAATTTAAGTAGTTTGCCCAAAGGTTCTACACTAGCTGCCATATCTGAAATCCACTTGTAGATTCCCTATTTAATCACTTTGTTTCTGTATCCACCCATTTACCTCTGTCTACTAACAACTCTGGCTGATGTCAATGAAAATATGCCATGACTACTAAGTCTTTAAAGCAGTTCTTTGGAACCTTTGACCTTATACTAAACCTTCTAGAATCTTCTGTATCCTATTCTTATAGCTGACCTGGTTTCACTATGGCTAAGACCAATACTGGCAGTTAGGATGTATTATTAAACCACTATGCTTTTGTAGAGTTCACTCCAACCCTGGTACTGACTTCACAACATATCCGTACTACTTTGGTATTCAATTCAAGTTCTACCAAGCTGCTATTCCAAATAGCTCAGAAAGGTAGGTCGAAACCATAACCTCTGGTTTACATGTTTGCTGGCATGTACCCTTTTCTTCTGGAACTTAGAAATTCCAGCAGCCTAGTTGGTTTATCTGGTCCCTCTTCAAAGATCAGCACATTTGTCTAGTTTCACAAGTTCTAGCTCCATTTAATAAGTCTAGTCTTTACAGTAGCACTGTCAAAAGCTTGGGTTACCTCTCTACTCAGGTCTTCCAAGTGGGTTTCCATCTTTCTTCTATTGGTTCTTATGATTTACATAGCTACAAGAACTTATTGTAGGTTTGCATCACCCAGTACTGGTTTGCATTTCTTCATGTAACCACAAACCTTGTCCTAAAGGACAATGTCATGTAACTGTTACACAAATGCTATATGACCTGCCAGTCATGCTGATATGATATAGATTACAGGTGTCTTATTCCAACCAATTGCAAAAGACAGTTAATTATAACACAAGGAGGATTTTCAAATTTTCTGTTAATATTGGGATTTGAACTCTGGACCTGCTACTTGAGGGTTGACAACTTAACCACTTCACTAGGTCACCACACTCCTTAATATTATAGTAATTAAACAGAAAACATTTAATGATTTATATAGTTTTGATTTTATAGACTTATATTGTATATCAAGACTACCTCAACTTTAAAAATATATTAATATCAAGATTATATCAAAAACAGTATACAATACATATATATATATATAGTTTTTTTTTAAAAAAAATAAAAAAACATATTAATTGAGTTAGTGTTACAGAATTTTTTTTGAATATATTGATATTTATAAGTTAGAATATTTTTAAAATTATATAATTAATAAAATTTAAAATCTTATATGGTTCACTTATTTTATAATTATAATAAGTTTATTATGATTTTATCTATTAAATTATAATTCAAAAATAAGGTATTATTAATAAAAAAATTTATTATTAGAACTTAATTTATATTAAGCAAAAATTCATATACTATTTTTATACAGATTGTAAATAACTATTTTATTAAAAGAAAAGAATTTAATATATAACATTTATTTAAAATTTAAAATCTAATAAAAAAATTATTTGATTTTATTAAAATATATAAAATTTAAAATACTAATTAAGTTTCTAAAAGAGCTAATCTTTTATTTATAAGAATATTTTTATATACAAAAAGTTTTGTTAACATCAATTCCTAAAACAGAAAGTCAAATATAAATTAAAATAATTTGTAACAAATTAGATAAATGTCTAGTTATTTCTTTTTAGTATACATCTAAATAAAATTTACTATTATAATTAAAATTATTATCTAATTTATAGTAAATTTCTTACTTATATATAATTATATGATTTGGATTTTTAAATTTAGAAATATTTTTATACAAATTAATAACTTATCTATTTTGTTATAAATAAAAATACTAAGAATACTAAGGATTAAAACATTAAATTGCTTTGAATAATAATAAAACAGAATATTAATCAATATGTTTTTTTAAACTTATTTAATATTAATTAATATTATTTACCTGATTTGTCACATCTAAAATTTTTTTTTGCTAATTTAATGTAAAATTTTATTTTGAACAAGTTTACTTAAAAGATAAAAATAGATTTTCTTAATAAAAAAAAGTTTTATATAAAAAAACTATAAATTTTATACTTATTATATAATAAACTTATTTTTTTTACTAAGATAACCTACTTTTGTCTTTTAGATAAAGTTGTCAAAATAATATTTTATATTGTCACGGGCTAGAAAAACGTAACAATTCATGCGCAACGATACATAGCACGAACGACGATCGGGACCCATGAATCGTACATGCATTTCGACCCTCCAAAAAAAGCAAAACACACATAATCAGCCCCCCCACGCCAAGAACACAAGACAAGGCAGTTATGCCAAATTCGGGAAGGCATTACACTGTGACGGTGATGTTTCAAGGTGGTGAAATCCGAAGTAATAGAGAGGCGTGTTAGTAAGGTTGCAATAGAATAAGGTGAAACTAAAACAATTGAGAAAACGATACTTACCCGTCGAAGTGAAACCCGCGATAGCATGATGGCATAGTGGCGGAATGGTGGGAAAATAGGAGGGCAAACTAAATTCAATAGTGAAATTGTTAGTAATGCGAAATTGTATAAAAGGCAAATAGAAAATTTAATAAAATACTTATCTTTTGGCATCCCCAAGTAGTGGGAGAAAGATCGAAGCCGTCCTAATAATAAAAAGTAGTAGTTTATAGGATAGTTAGATAATATATTAAACAATAAAAAGAAAAGTACTAAATAAAATAAACAAAATACTCACTAAATCAAATCCCACGCCTCGAAGCCTTGTCCCACCGATTTGCGTACCATTATATGACGTCTAGTTCGAAGAAGCGACAGGCTCGCCATTTACCTGTCGCAATATATAATTATAGTTTTATAATTAAAAAATATTTCTTTATAGTCAGTTACCACTTCTAAGATAATAATGTTCTCTATATTTAGTAGACCATTTTTAGAAGAGAATGATATAAATAAATATATAAGTAAATCCATTTATATAAAGAACCAAGTTAATGATAGTTAGACCCAACATACAGAGCAGACTATGGCACTCTTCACAGCTGTAAAAACCAAGCTTAAAATAGCGAGTGACCCTACAGAAGATACATAATCTAAATTTTTATTAACATCATTAAATTCCTATAATTTAAACATCTGCTATAACAAATTTCATCAATATCATTATCTTTCTTTATTACATTTTCAACCTACTATAAAAACTTTTTTTCAATACTTACAACAAATAAATTCTACTCAATTACTAAATACTTCTATGATAACACTAAAGATAAACAAAATTAAAGCTCACATTTACCTACCATATGAACTTACTATTCTGCCAAACTATTATATTTTTTTTATTACTAATTTTTTCAATATATCTCTTAAATCCCAATCTAATTTTCAAACTGCTGACTTCAATACTAAATTTGAATTACAAAGCAATTACAACACTTCTATATGCTTTAAAGCTGTAAATATAAACAACATACTCTCTTCTGAATATACAATTATATCTTAGGTCTCTAACTCAATAAATAGAGATTTACAATTCACTTCTTTCATTAACCTCTCAAGCTATCAATTAGTACTTACAATGTTCAAGACTACAATGAAGACCTTAAATAACAAATATAGAAAAACTTCTGTTTAACAAGCAATCTTAAGATAGTTAGTATTACTAAAACTAAAATAGCTAGCACAAATGCAATAACAAAGCTATAAAAATCCAAACACTTTATATACTACTGATCATGCAGCAATGCCTCAAAAGTTAGTACTGCAATTATGATCAATAATTGGCTCAAACCACATGTCCACAAAATATACAATCTCCTTGGTTATGCTATTGTTATTGATCTTTTTTTTAAATATAACTTCAAATTCTGCATTATATCAATATATTTGCCTTGTGATTATATCAACTTAGATTAACTATTCAAAATACTATTATTTCATGGCTTCAACAAGTCACAAGTTCAAACTTACAACCTATTATTCTGAGAAACTTTAATGCCCCTAATGATAGCTTACACACTTTCTCTATTAAATACAAACTATTGCACTTTCTCCAATATAACAACATGTATAACTTAGCTGCTCATACTCAATCATTAATCAATACTTGGCAAAGCAGCCAATTTCAAAGTTGAATTGACTACATTTGAGCAAACTACTCAATTATTTATTACCTCACCTTATACAATACTGATGACTCTAAAACTTGCACAAATAATAATCATAAAATTTTAATTTTCTTCTGGTCTTTTCTTTATACTTATTCTGACAAATAACATTTTGCATCCAAAACTTGAAAAAAACATTCTTTTATAAAAAAATAAATGAAAAACTTTGGCAATTATATACTGATCAAGTGGCTACTAATCTTAGCTTTAACTATACACTTACAACTGTTAATACAACAGAATTTTTAAAATCAACATAGCACAAAATTTAGACCAATATCATTTCAGCTGCTCTTAAACATATTCCTAACAAAAAAGTCAAAATACGCAATCTTTAACATATAAAGTAGATGTAGATATTATGACAATGTTAACAGTCTTTACTAGTAAAAGTTTGCCTATAACTTTTTTTTAATTTTCTTTTTTAAAAAATCTATATAAATTTTAATTTGCTTTACAATTGTAATACAAAAAAAATTGTATTCTATATAAATTATACAATGTTACTTAGAAAGTTACAATTTTTATTTTAATAAAAATAAAATGACAAACATAAAATCAATGATATGCAAATTAATGATCTTCATTATCATATAACAGATATGTAACAGTACAATATGTATGTATGTGTATGTAAACTTAGGAAAAAACTGTTGATTATTACTTATTTTTTTTTTCTAATTTTTTTTGCATTTTTTCTTCATTTTGACATTTGGCTTTAGCTTTTTTTTTCTCTCTCTGCTCATTTTTGTGCTGCAACTTCTTTTTTTCTTTTCATGTTTTTAACTTTTGTTCTGGCTAGTTCTTCTGTCTTTTCTAATTTCTACAAAGAGTCATTGTTAGTAAGAAGTCTGGCAAAAGATAATGGTTTTCTTTTTTTTGTGAGTTGTGAATGAGGTTTAGCACAGTTGGATCTGGTTTATTAGGTTGTAATGAAAGACAAGAAGCAGGATATTTAAGCACTATTTTTAATAGGCAAGTATCAGGATTATTAAAAGTCTCTAGCTCTTTACTTATTAATTTATGTTTACACTTCAATGATTCATTTTCATTTTTTAGTATTTTGATTTCCTTTCCAAGAAACTTAAGATTTATTTTTAATAGTTCTATTCCATTTTGAGTAAAATATTTATGAATTATTAAAAAGAATATTTCTGGAGCTAATGGTTTTTCACTATTTTGTTAAAGAGATTGAAATAAAGATAAAGGATAAGCTTGCTTTGTTGTTAGTGAAAGGTTAAGATGTTTAGAACTAATAGCATCAGGATTAAATAGCCAAATTCCTGTAGTCCTAAAAGCATTAGTAATCACCTTCAGAGTATAAGTTGCTGTAAACACTGGCCTGAGAATTTAGGCAAATATGTACTTAGTTACTACTTTACCTTTACTATAATGAAGCTGGTTACAACTCTTACTGTATTCCTTTTTGAGTTTAGCAAATGGGATTTCAGAGAATTAAAAAATATGAGTCATATGCAGTGGCAGCATATATAACAAAATTCTATTTTCATTACAGTATTTTAAACTTGTATAATTTATGTGACTTTTATGCCTATTGAGCATGAGCAGAACCAAACAAAAGAAGAAAATTAATTTGACAAAGTGTTCTATATACATTTGGAAGAGATCCTCTTATATGTATTCAAAATCAGTAAAGCCCATAACAGAGCCAATTGGGCCATCAGTCAATAAATCTGAAATTGCACAAATGCCTTTATAAATAAATAGTGGAGAAATAAAGGTACCAGCAACTGAAATCATCAGAACAAAGAAAATGTAGTCATGTGCATTCCTATAAGATACTTTGTAAACTTGCCAAGCATCTTTTATAGAGTTGAAGGTTTATGATTATTAGTAATACAAAATTTAATTAATTACAAGACAATTATTAATTTATAATCAATTTATTTAATTTATATACAGTTATTCTTCCATATAGTCATACAGTTGGGCATATAGTAACTTTTTTAAAATTGCACCTATAATAAAGTTGTGCTTATATAGAGGGCTATTTTTAGTGATAGGAAAAATGTGCATTTTATAATAATATGCATATTAATGCATACAAAATGATTCATGTGCATAATATCGCATGATAAAAAAAAGACAAAAAAAAAATCAGATTGACATGAAACTGAATCATGTACATTAATGCACATAAAACTTATTTTTGCTATTTCTTATAAATTAAGGTAACTGTATGAAGAGACAACTGAATAATAATATATTACTAATTAACTAATAATTATTACCAGAACAATATTATTCTAATACTGACCTTTTATTATGAGAACTTTTTAAATTTTTGAAACAATGACAAATCTCGTCTCATCCATATTTCAAATATAGTCTGAAGTAAGTAAATGCTCCTCAATTATCTTCTGTAATTTATCAAAATGATCCTTTATTATTATTGAATTTGCTCTTTAAGCTTGTGCCTCTGATAAAGCTTAAGACATTCGAAAAGATAAATCTGGATGGTTCTTCATAAACTGATCCCACCAAGCTCTGCCAAGCCTTTTAGCTACAAAAGGATGAGTATGATGATTTCTATATACTATTTTTATCACACAATAGTTTACATCTAATTTTGTCAAGCCAAACCCTAACATCTGCATATTTTTACAATAGCCTACAAGTTGCTCTTCTTTATGCTTGCTCAATATTGTCTCAGAACCAGAACATTTAGGCAAACTATTTTTAATAACATGTCTCAATGTTGTCTCTAAAATACTAAATTTTAAGGCAGTTGAATTTATACTAAAATTCATAGGGCCAGCAAGGTCTTTAAGGGCTGCTTTATTTGCAACATGATAATCTTTTTAACTAAGCTTTATTATTTTTGAATTTGATTTGATTTATTTACACATTTAACTTTAGTTTTTTTAATAATTTTTGTTGACATCTTTTTTTTTAATAGATAAATATATTAGTAAGTAAGAGTTGATGCAAAATTTACTTAAAGGTAGAGATGACATAGATCATTTTTACTAGTAATTTTATAGCAAATCATATAATATTATATAATTTACATATAAAATTTTGGTTATATTACATGAATTTCTTATATAAATCTTGTGTAATCTAGAAAACTCATAAGCTAATCTAAGCAAACTTAGTAATATATAAAGTATTTTTTTTAAATAAAATAAATTATAAAATTTTATATAGATTTATATACTATTAAATTTTAGTAACAATTGAATATAATACTGAAAAGTTTTATTAGTAATATATATTTTTTTTATATATATAATTTTATTTGCTATAAATTCTTTTTACACAAAAATAATTAAAAATTCATCAGTACTAAAATTACTAATATCTGGTTATCTTACTAAAATAACCAACTTTGGTGTTTTAAATAAACTTGTTCAGCTACTAATTTTACATATATTCTGAAAGTTTCAAGTTTATAACTTTTGAACTTGTAGTTTAACATTGCAAAAACTGTCTTTCGCCTTCACTATTAAACTTTTAATTATTTCTTATAAAGCATCTTGTTAATCTATTTTACAGTCATAAGAAAAGTTGTAAAGCACTGCCTTCTGATCAAAAAAAGGCTAAAAAGAAGCTTGTAGATCTAAAATTGACAGAATTATAATAGAAAACAACTTTAACTCCTCTGTAGTTTAGTTTCCTTTTTTTTTATTCCTTTGTCCTTATCCCTAAATTTTTTTTCTAAAATGTTTTTCGTGTAATTTCAAATCATTTCTAAAATTGGTTTCATTTAATTTCATATTGTGTAAATTAAATTTATCTAAAAAGAAATTTATTTGTTACAAATTATTTTGTACTAACTTGTTAAAAATAAGTTTTGTACTTAATTACACAATAGTTATCATAATACTTAACTATTTATAAATTTGTACTATATTAGCCACACTAGCTACACTAGCCATACCAGCCACAAACTTGTGTTACTTAGGTTACATAAGGTTACACAAGCCGCAGTAGTCATAGTCAAACTCCTGCAAATACAAATTATACCTTGCAATTAAATTTATATTATAATTAAACTTTTAAAAATCTTTAATCAAAGATTACAAAAAATTTTACTAAGTAACCTAAACTTCAACTTCTAAATAAACTTATAGCACTATGCCTACTATTAGTACAGAAGCACCAGATAACTTAGATCTTGATTATTTTTTCAAGAATTATGCAAGCTCTTATGGCATTACTATTTATAAAAATAAACCTGTACATTGCGACGGGTAAACGGTGAGTCTGTCGCTCCAACAGACAAGACCTCACATAACGTTAAGAATTCGGGGTAACAAGGCTTCGAGGCATAGATAAAGATTTGGCGAGTATCAGCTTTATTAGAACAACTTCAAACCTTTTTCCCCTCACTTGAGGCATCCAAGATTAGTAACTTTATTAAAATTATGCTTTGATTTTTATACCATTTTACATTTACTAACAAATTCTATTTAATTTTAGCTTCCCTTCCTATTTTCCCACTACTCTGCCACTATAGAATTGTGCTGCCACAGGTTTCACCTAAACCGGGTAAGTATTGGATTCTGTTGGTTTTACTTTTAATTTATTTTATTATAACTATACTAACCTGCTACTCTGAAACACTGTATTTATGACCTCATGCCATCACTGATTTGGATACATTCGCTTGGATCGATTGTTTTGGTGTTGGGGGCATGATTATGCATGTTTCATCATTTGTGAGATCGATCGTGCATAATCGATCCTGGGTCCTGATTGGTGCTTGTACAACGTATTGTGATGCATGAGTCGTCACGAATTTTTCACCTGTAACAACATGTAAGAGCTATTTCAGACAAATACAGACCTACCAAATGTATTACCATAGAACTTAGATCTTATTCACCAACTCATTTCTTTCCTGCTCCTGTAACAATTACAACAATCAAGTGCATGTATAGATTATTTCACACTAAATTTATTACAAAAAACAATAAAACATATGAACTTATTAGCAAAACCTATAAAAAAACAACAACCAACAAGCAAGCCAAAAAGCTTCAACAAGCACTTACAAAATCTAAATTTCAAGTTCTACCATCTCCTCAGTCATTATTTATATACACACTTGTCCTAAATGTCAAACTCCAATTAATTGTAAAATAACTAACAACAATTACACACTACAAAATAAATCTACCTTCTATCAAAATACAGAATATCACAATAATTGCTTAGCTGAAATTTATAAAGAAATAATCTTAGCTAATCAATACAAACTTCAATCTACTGAAAACCCTGAACAAGACCCATCTTCACAATATAAACTTTCAACTAAACAGCTTGTCACTTCTTTATTTGATCAAAATCCGAACAACCCTCTTGTTTTAGAACTCATATTTACTCTACCTAACTTTAAAGAAACAACTTCTACTAACAATGATATAGACATTGACAGCTCTACTACACCACCTAAACCACAACAACAACTACAAACCCAACAAATACAACAACCACAACAACAACAATCTTTACATCAAGCTTCATCACTTTTATACAAACAACAGCCTAACAAAAAACCATTTCAATAATCTCAACTGGTTTAATCTTATAGTCAAGCAACAAGACCCAAACTTAACTCATCATATGACTTTTTAGCAAATTTTCTGGTTACTGATGAAATGCAAAACCACACAAAATTACAAACAGAGATGTTCTGAAAACTCTTTAATTTTCTTAAAGAACATCTTCATAACTTCTATCCTAGCAAAGTTATTAAAGAAGCAATTGAAAAACAAGATTCACTTAAAGCAAGCTTTTATCTATTAATTAGACAAATGGCTAATGCTAGACCTCAATTTCTCACTAACTTAATTCAATAATATAACTTTGACAATAACAAAGCTGCTACAATAACATTTAACATTCTTGAAGAAACATTCAAAAAACTTATTCTTATATTTATAACAGTTCTTTTTACTAACTTACTATTCAAAAATATTTGTTTCTCTAGCTACCATTTTACCTATTCAAACTTATAATCAATTACAATTTTGTATTAATCTTGCCCAACTTCACTTATATCTTTCTGACAACTATTAAGCAATTAATATACCAAATTTGCAGAAAATATCAAACTAAGACCCAAAAGATTTAATATAACATCTGAGGTCACTGAAGTTAATAAACAATATTAGTTTCTCTTTATTAAAATAAATAATCGTTTTAACATTAAACTTAATTTTAACTTTTCTAAAACCTTATTTCTTCAAAAATACAACATACTATTTTTAAAAAATTCACTTGACCATTTCAATGAATAGTTCAAAAAAATTTTTCCTATATACAGTCACTAATTCTCTAATGCTATCAACAAAACCAAAGTCCAAAACTATCTCAAATATAAATTTAGACAACATTTCATTTCTCATTTTAAAAAGCTTCTACCTATCACCATTGAGTTCAAAAAACCAACTAGTTTTTATAAAAGATGTAATGAAACCTTCAGACATGCCAACCATCATATACTTATCTGCACAGATCCAAAATGTTTCTATTTTGAGCCAGTTATAGCTAAAGATAAGAAAAAAAAAATGATAAAGAAAAAGAACCAAAAATTGAAAACAAACCTAACAAAACTCAAAAAACAAACTCTAAAGCATAAGTTATACACAACTTAACCAAACTTATTAGAAATATATTCAATACATCATACAATACTTATCCAAAAGAAATTAAAGCCTGGAATGAACTCTTTCTTGATGCTTCAATATTCTATATCAAAAGAAAACATGAAGCTATATTCACTAAACAAATCTCTACTACCATTTTAGATAAATTGGCAGCAAAAGCAGAAGAATAATCCAAAATAACAAGTCTTTTACTTTTATCAATACCTAACTCTCTATCAAAATACTGCTGCAAAAAAACCACAATATTGATAAAATAGACAAACAACAGACTATTAACTTCCTTATACCTAAACTTATTAACACTAACTTTCTTGACATGTTATTATATATTTTGATTGCACCTGCAATGAATCTTCTAACTATTCTGCAATAACCAAATTCTACAAAGAAAAAGCATTACCAGAAGCTAAAACAATTTTATATGAAAAATTTAACATCAAATTTGAAATATCCACATTTATTGCAGAGACACTCTTCTTAGAACAAGAAGAACAAACTTCTTTTTAATAAATTTGTCTTCTACAAAACCCATAGATGCAGCTACCATCCTATTAAATGACACATCTACAGTAGTTAATAGGAAAAATAATGTAAGTAGGCAGGCAGTAAAGCCTATTTACATGGAAGGCCAAGATAATGATGGTTAGACCTAATGCACAGGGCAGACTTTGGTACCTTGCACAGCAGTAAGAGCTGAGCATACAGTGATTGATCCTGTAGAAGACAATTTTAGAAGATTATTTTCAATATCTTTAAGCTCTTATGATCTTCATACATGCTTCAACAAATTCCTTTTTTATTACAACCTACTAATTCTTTCTCATAATCAAACCATTCAATCTCTTTTACAATATATTGATAAACATAATCATAATAATACTGTCTCTAGCATTACTTTCTCTGTTAGCAATACATATAATGAAACCTATATATATCTTTCAAATGACTTTCTCTTACCTAATTATACTGTTATTTATCCTTATCTTCTTCCTATTTTTTACAACCTTCTTCTTAGATCAAATTCTTCTAATTCTGCTTTCATTTCACCTGATTTATTTCTTAATAGTCACACTATATCACAAGTATTCACATTTATACAAACTTTATATAATCTTCATTTAAATATTTGTACA